AATATCTTCGAAACTAAGGGGGATATCGAATTTTTACGAAAATTTGGGGGGTAGGGGCGAGTGGGGTGTGTGTGTTGAGAATTCGCAATAGAAAAAATTGAGTTGGTCTTTTTTATAAAAATATCTCCTAAACTAAGAGAGATAGCAATTTTTTACCAAAATTTGGGGGATTGGAAGGAGAGGTTGTGTATTGAGAATTCACAACCAAAAAAATTGAGTAGGTGATTTTTTTGAAAATATCTCCGAAATCTCTTTAATCAGAGCCCCGATATTCGGCAAGCAGATATTGGGCAGATGTTTGGCCTTTCATCGGGGACCTGATGTTCGGCGAGCAGATATTGGGCCGATTTTTGGCCTTTCATCGGGCCCCGCTATTCGGCGACCGGATATTGGACGGATGTTTGGCCGTATTGAATATATCGGCAAATCCTGCATGGGGTTGAATGATTGAATTTAGTTGAAGTTTAATTAATTATTGTGATGTACTGAACGAAACGTTGATCTTACAAAGACTGGTGATGTACTTGGTTACTAGTGAGCTAGGTGAGATTCAAGGAGCTACTGTACTCGGTGAGGTGCAATGTAAGACTAAATTTGGGGGTTTTCACGATCGTCTGACCGCTCAACCGAAGGTTCTCGATGGTGCTCAAGTTGAATGTACCGGAATTTTAGTCGCGTTTCTAACAAGGTCACGACAAAAATTTTTTTATCTCTTTTAGATTCTGAGATATTTGTCAAAAACTGACCAGTAGTCAAAATCGACTTAACGCGGATTGCCGCTTCGCTACTGAATTTACATTTTTTTTGTATTCTCGCAAACCTCCTACGCTCCATATCTCTTGAACAAATCCCCGAAATTTACATAGTTCTCTCATAAATTATTTTTCAAACCGTCGTCACTTATGGATTCCCATTCAGACAACAAACAGAGAAAAAAAGTGGATTAGCTTTAGAAACTAGTTTCTGGATGTTAAAAACTCCTGTTGTTAAGCTTTATCCTTGGCGGGATCATAAAAGTTGACCAATTTGGGGATTGTTTTTAAAAACCGATATTTTCTAAAACCAATGCTGAATTTTTCTTAATTTTAGAAAATTTTCAAATTGAACTAAAAAATTGTGGCCGAGATATTTAAAGGGCGTAAGGGCCCCGTACATAGGGAGGGGAGCCCAAATATCGGAAATTTCAGATGTGTGGAGGGAGGATTTTGCAAAGACAGGGAGCGGGAGAAGTTGTGAATTGAGAATTCACAACCATAGAAATTGAGTCGTTGAGTTTTTGAAAAATATCTCAGAAACTATGAGAGATAGCGAATTTTTACGGAAATTAGGGGGGGGGAGGGCATGCATTGAGAATTCACAACCAAAAAAATTGAGTCGGTGAGTTTTTCGAAAATATCTCCAAACTAAAATTGGAAAATTGGAAAATTGGAAAATGGGGAAAAATTTTATGTAATAATTAGGGGGGAGGGCGTATTGAGAATTCACAACCAAAAAAATTGAGTAGGTGATTTTTTTGAAAATATCTCCGAAACTAAGAGATATGGCGATTTTCTATGGAAATTTGGGGTGGTAGGGAAATAGCGATTTTTTACGAAAATTTGGGGCGGAAAGGGGGGACGGTGCATTAAGAATTCACAAGCAAAAAAATTGAGTCGGTCATTTTTTCAAAAATATCTCCGAAACTTAAGGCGTTAGCGAATTTGTATTAAAAAATTAGGGGAGTAGGGGGAGGCAAGCTATATTGAATTCTCGATGTATAACACACGCCCTCCCCCCTAATTATTACATAAAAAATTTTCCCCATTTTCCAATTTTCCAATTTTAGTTTGGAGATATTTTCGAAAAACTCACCGACTCAATTTTTTTGGTTGTGAATTCTCAATGCACGCCCCCCCCCCTAATTTTCGTAAAAATTCGCTATCTCTCATAGTTTCTGAGATATTTTTCAAAAACTCAACGACTCAATTTCTATGGTTGTGAATTCTCAATTCACAACTTCTCCCGCTCCCTCTCTTTGCAAAATCCTCCCTCCACACATCTAAAATTTCCGATATTTGGGCTCCCCTCCCTATGTACGGGGCCCTTACGTCCTTTAAATATCTCGGCCACAATTTTTTAGTTCAATTTGAAAATTTTCTAAAATTAAGAAAAATTCAGCATTGGTTTTAGAAAATATCGGTTCTTAAAAACAATCCCCAAATTGGTTAACTTTTATGATCCCGCCAAGGATAAAGCTTAACAACAGGAGTTTTCAACATCTAGAAACTAGTTTCTAAAGCTAATCCACTTTTTTTTTCTGTTTGTTTTCTGAATGGGAATTCATAAGTGACGATGGTTTGAAAAATAATTTATGAGAGAACTATGTAAATTTCGGGGATTTGTTCAAGAGATATGGAGCGTAGGAGGTTTGCGAGAATACAAAAAAAATGTAAATTCAGTAGCGAAGCGGCAATCCGCGTTAAGTCGATTTTGACTACTGGTCAGTTTTTGACAAATATCTCAGAATCTAAAAGAGATAGAAATTTTTTTGTCGTGACCTTATTAGAAACGCGACTAAAATTCCGGAACATTCAACTCGTGCACCATCGAGAACCTTCGGTTGAGCGGTCAGACGATCGTGAAAACCTCCAAATTCAGTCTTACATTGCACCTCACCGAGTACAGTAGCTTCTTGAATCTCACCTAGCTCACTAGTAACCAAGTACATCACCAGTCTTTGTAAGATCAACGTTTCGTTCAGTACATCACAATAATTAATTAATCTTCAACTAAATTCAGTGATTCAACCCTATGTAGGATTTGCCGATATATTCAATACGGCCAAACATCGGTCAAATATCCAGTCGCCGAATATCGGGGCCCGATGAAAGGCCAAAAATCGGCCCAATATCTGCTCGCCGAACATCGGGTCCCCGATGAAAGGCCAAACATCTGCCCAATATCTGCTTGCCGAACATCGGGGCTCTGATTAAAGGCCAAACATCGGGCCAATATCTGCTTGCCGAACATCGGGGCTCTGATCAAAGGCCAAACATTGGTCCAATATCCGTACACCAAACGTCGGGGCCCCGATGAAAGGCCGCTCCACGGCCGATCATCGGAAGCGACTTAGTATTTGTAGGCTATTTTTTGAATAAATGGATGGATAGCATGCATTCATCCTCTTTCCTAATATACTGACTATAGATATCGATACCCCGAATGAAAGCCTATTATAAATAAGGTCTTGAGAAAAAATTTTCTATCTCTCTTAGATTCCGAGATATGCATCAAAAACTGGCCAAAAGTCAAAATCTATTTAACCCGGTTCACCACTTCGCTATTGAATGTACTCGATATCTTGAAAGGTAAACAAGCGAATGTATACATGTCAGTGATTTAACCGTTACCAAAAACCAATAGCCAAGGAACACCAAGAATATTTATATTTTGTTCTTGGAGCAAAGTATATCCAAATAATGTTGCATATTATCTGGAGTCTTTCCTTGTGACGTGAGTCACTCGGTTTGGAAAAATGATTGAAATCCCTGAAAAACCAAACGAAATTTTTTTTTTGAAAAGACCGGCCAAGTGCGCCTTTGTAAGAATTGTATTTTTAAAAAAATGTATTGTTTCTCAGGAAGAAAAATTGAAAAAATGCCGAGTAACCATTTCAATGCGTTGTTGTGGAAAAATGCCCCAGTACTTACTTATAGATAATTGTTTCTGGGAAATTGAAAAAAGTGGAGAAATAAGGAAGAGCGCCTAGTTCCTGAAGTTGAACTTATGATTTCGATAAACCACAGAACTTTTCATAACATCTAGAAACAATTTCGGCTTTTTTTCGACAGTCGGCTTGTACTGTTGCAAATTTTATAAGTTTGAACTCATCAATGCCAACTCAATATTATCTATTCCTGTGAGTCTATTCCTTATAAGTGGGTACGACCATAAAAAGTGTGGTTATCCACACAAAGTCAATGAAAAAGTGTCAATACGAGTGTTTCTTTAAAAAAAAATTCTTCAGAAAATTCTCAGGACCAACATACTTGACGCGGTTTTTTGAAACACTCATTGCGGAGAGTTGTCGCTTTGTGTTGACACCATAGTCGAATAAACCTTTTCCATGTTTTAAGTCGCGAATGCCGATAACTACCTGGCGATCACTACCTTAATTAATTTAATTTCTATTCATGAAAATGAAAATATTTGAAAATGGAAAAGAATAAGCTTAAGGCATTAACGTAAACTATTCGGAAATTCCATCCAACACAATCACACAATTGACTATCTAAAGATTTGAACACCTAGCAAGGTATAGTATGCTTCAAAGCAATTTCTGAGTCCCAAAGTGGATCTCAAATCTCAAATAATAGACTACCAAATAAGGATCCCCATTAAGATAAAAAACCGCGCTAAGTACGTTGGTCCTGAGAATTTTCTGAACCATTTTTTTTAAAGAAACACTCGTATTGACACTCTTTTTCATTGACTTTGTGTGGCTAACCACACTTTTTATGGTCATACCCACTCCGTAACTCACAGGAATAGACAATATTAAGTTGGCATTGATGAGTTCAAACTTATAAAATTTGCAACAGTACAAGCCGACTGTAGGAAAAAGCTGAAATGGTTTCTAGATATTATGAAATGTTCTGTGGTTTTTCAGAATCACAAGTTCAACTTCATGAACTTGGCGCTCTTCCTTATTTCTGCACTTTTTTCAATTTCCCAGAAACAATTATCCATAAATAAGTACTCGGGCATTTTTCCACAACAACGCATTGAAATGGTTACTCGGCATTTTTTCAATTTTTTTTTCTGAGAAACAATACAATTTTTTTTGAACATTTTTTTTGCTGAAACACAATACAATTTTTTTTTGAAAAAATACAATGCTTACAAAGGCGCACTTGGCCGGTTTTTTCAAAACAAAATATTTTTTTTGGTTTTTGGGCTCGTATTCATATATTTACAAACTAATTACAAAACAAATTGTAAAGTATGATATGACCACATACTCATCGCTCGAAGCGGTATCCTTAGATGTGCATCCACCCATCGTTGATATAAATCTCACCAATCGAATTCAATAAGAAAAAAATAGTTATGAAGATCTTTCCAATTTACTCGCAAAACTAAAAGTATAGAATACACTGCAGGATAAGTATTGAAGCAATCAACAATTATATAAAAAAAATTAAATTCCCGTTATTTCCTATTTGAGAGTACTGAATTCTCTGAAATACACTTGGCAACCTGTGTCCACATTCATACAATCACGTAGCGATAGCAAAATTTGAATATTTCAATATATCCCGAGCGAAATTACGAGGGGTATGCCTCCACTATAATTTTCCAGTTTTTACATTCCCTAAATGTCAAATTTTCACTGTAATAGATCACTGACACATTTTTGCGCCGTGAAGATCTCCCTCTATTTAACACAAGTGCTTTAAAATAAAAGAACCAATATCCGTCAAAATACAATCACCAATATTCACAAATATGCTCAGATTCCCGCACGTAAAAAAAAAATATATATTTTCTTTTATTTGAAATATTTTTCCAAGCAGAATCATTGAATCTCAAATGTCTTCATCTAGTTTAGTACGAAAACGAATTTTACGTTTCTAAATCTCAGTTTTGCCCATTGAATAAACAGAAGAGAATTTGGTTTTAGTTATAATTCCGTCTTTATTATGAGTGATGTGAACACTACAGTCTTTACGCTATCACTAAACAGGAGTAGGAGAGATTCGTTGGGACAATCTGCGTGAATGCGTTGGGGGGTATATACGTTTCTTCGTTACACGTCTCGAGCTCTCTGTTTCTCACAATGAGACGTGTGCTCATGCTGACTGTATAGTCCTTATTCCCCCGATACGTTTTTGTGTATAAAACCCCCAGTTATACAGCCACCTCTTTCGCCCCCCACCACCACTCACTCATTCCCTCTCTCTCAATGTATTTCTCCCTTTAGTTACTAGAGTCCAGTAAACTTATTGCCCCTTCTAGTATCCGCCACACGCCAGGGTGGGGCCCGTCTACTTGGCACAGCATAGAGGCACAGCATTTGTCACACGGTCGATATCACGTACAAAGCCCGCGGAATTCACGTTTACTCGGGACTTGACGCGTGCGCAGAAGATATTCTGTCCTTTTTGGGGTTGCACCTACTCCTATGTAATACAAAGAATGTTATGACGGGCCAATATTTTGTATGAATTCTTGGGCAAGTCTACCCATGGAGCATTCAGATTAGACCACAAATTTTTCTGTTATACAGTTATCGTCCCCAAATTATTCAACCCTGTCACGTATAGACAACAATCCATACATAAATGCCTATTTATAGTTAATAATTTACAATTTTCTTTAAATTTTCTTTGCCATCCATTTTTGGCCATCAATGAATCAGTCCCATGGAGAAAAATAAGACAGTGTACAATTTCATTCTAGAATATCCAACTTCTCGTTTTTGTAAGTCATGATTGAAAAATGGGTAGCATGATCAATGGACGTTTCACATTTTCAGTATACAATAAGGGATTAGAGCAAAAATTTATAAAGCAAGTAGATACATCATATGAAAATTATAAAATTGCCTTACTTGTGTAAAAAACGACCTTGACGGAATTAATCAATGTTTTCCATATAATCCTAGAATTGGGAAACCTCGGATACAGACTATTTTTAAGTGTCGAATGAGGGATCCTTAATGTGACTGACATTGCTAGAAGGGAAAAATTTATATTACGTTTGATCTGGCATTACAATTATTACCGATTTTCTTTTTTATTTCCTCAATGTTCTTCATATTAGAAATTCATTTGGTTTCGTCAGAATAAAGAAGATCAATATTGCTTCACTGCTAATTTATCCAAACTCCAGTATGGATTTCGATAATTAACACGTCAGTTCCATTATACTACCTAACAGAAAAAGATGAGATTTTGCTTGAGTTATATTCTTCTTACATTTTCTTCTTTTATCGCTCATCGAACAGATGGCTACAGCACTTGAATTCATGATTCCAAGGTAAAGACATTTTATTATATTCAAAAAATTGAACGATTCCGCGCAAGGGTGAATTAGCAAAGAACAGTGGTACGCAACTAAATGTTTTAGATTGCTTGCTTTTCCATGACTTGATTCATGAACTTCAACTGTATGTACATTAATGCTTCTGGAACACCACGTATAAATGATGACGCAACGGTAAAACAAACAGAAAAAAATCATTGTTTGTATGGCAAAGATGTAAGATTTTATCCAAAGATGAGGCTCATGTTTACAGTATGCGGCCGAGGTAAGGATAGGCTAGAAAATTTTTGAAACTCTTGCATGGAACATGTACCATTGTATTGTAGCTTTTGTCGAGATGGATTCGACGATTCCGGAGGATGGTTCATCATTGCATTTGATAACTTAGATTAGGTTAACGTAGGCGAATTTCTTCATTTTCGTCTGCTAGATGGCGAACCGTGCCACTTCCAGCCATTATAGCGCGTTGGGGTTGCAGAGAGTTATTTTTTAGGTTTCCAATCAATTCAATATTTTGGGAGCGGCGACTATTATTGGTTAGAATAATAAGATTTCGCATAGCATTAAACACTGAATGTTCCCGAAAAGACACCTACTCTTTACCTGAAGGGCACAGAACCAACTATCTCTGGGGGGCTATTCTCAACAAAAAGCCGCTTTTTCCGCAGCTTTTTCGAAGCTGCGATTTGCTGTCGCGAGGGGGCGACACGATACTAAATACACGAATTGATGAACGCATTTTCAACCTCAAATCTGTCAGATTTTTTTGACATTTGGAAGAGCTATAATAAGTTAACTTTAGGGAAATTTAAACCAAAATAACCGTAGATGATGGTGGAACCGTGATGATGGTGGATAGTATAACAGGTGCAGTGCTAGTTGATGAAGAAGCCGAGGACCATCAACGGGGCTTACATAAATTATTAAATGCGCGACGTAGGGCAATTAGACGCACCTCAAATCCACTGGATGATTTGCCGGACTCAGTGTTTAATAAATACTACAGGTTCAATTGGTTCATGGGATTTATTTGTTGGCTTTTATTAATGAAAATAATAACAGGGTTAGCAACGATTTTATACAATGGCTGTGTGAAATTCCACTTTCGCTCCGACATCAAAAATCGAAGCCAAGATATTCACCAGCATCAATATCTACTCTCAGTGGTCGATAGGCAGTCAATTCTATTCACTAATTAATCGGTCAAGTATTTATCTCATTTGTAACACGTATTGAAGTGAATTATTAACACTTTACTCCAATATCAATTATAGCGGCTCCAAAATGAATAATTACAGATGGATGGGTATTTGCGCATAATGCGTTCGCAAAGTCACCACTTCGTGTCATTTAGTATCGTGTCGCCCCTTCACGGCAAAAAATCGCAGCTTCGAAAAAGCGGTGGAAAAAGCGGCTTTTTGCTGAGAATAGCCCCCCAGGATTGCATTTCCGTTTGCTTTCGAATGTGAGCTTTGTACTTGAAGGATTTTAACATTTTGTAATTTAGGCTTCTGCTTCCGAAGGTTTTATGATCGTTCAAATTAAATTTTTTGATTTTTTGTGTTATATCGACCGATTGTGATCCAAAAAGTCCGAAAATGCAATTTTTAGACTCTGTCTGTATATATATATATGCGTGTGACAAAGTTTTTCTTCAATTGTTCGCTAATGAATCGATAGAATCTTCTTTTTCGTCATATCTCGCACGGAAAGTTCGATTTTCCTCCTTAAATGACGGAAGGAAAATCGCTTGATTCATTCCTCGGTTTTTCTATTGATTTCGACGATCCTCGGAATTACATAACGCACGTTCCTTCCTGCATTTACGAAGAAAAATAGAACTATACCGTGCAATTATAACGAAAAATATTATGTATACCTCCCCAGAAAACAATTTTTGCCAGTGCCATCTAAAATTTAACAGGACGCCGGCAATTTGTCAACAAATTGTTGACATACTGTTTGCTGGGTAGAAAGCAAAGCAAGGCATGGAATGTCTTTTTTTTCTCCCTTGGTGCACAATCTACTATTTTTCAAATGTAGGTACTATTGAGCCATATCCATTGATATTATTTAAAATTCAATTCATTTAATAATTTTTTCATCACGCTGTGACGAAAAGTGAACTGTTCGGCACGCTTCGCGTGCCTAAAAGTCCAATTTCCGCCACATTGTGATGAAAAATATTGTTCGTAACTCGTGAAAAAATGTTTTTTAGCTCGTGGGATTATATCACGAGCCTTCGGCTCGTGATATAAACCTCCCACTCGCCAAAAAACACTTTTTTGCACTCGTTACGAAATATACTATTTATAAATTTTGGAATTTTTCCAAAAATTGTTTGTCTTACGTGAACTCCAAAAACAAATGGACAATCGCATATATCTCGGATAGAATCAAGAAGGCATTCTTATTAATTTTTTAGAGCCATGGTTAATTCTGTTTTGATAACATTTTTTTGAGTGATCATTAGAAAATCAATTTTTAGAAAAATATCAATTTTTTGTAGGAAAAATTGAATTTTAATTAATGTCAATAAATTGAGCTTATTAAATTCTATAATATAGACTCTATATTCATAAAATTGGATTAAGCCGTTATAAGACAATATCGAAACGAAAGGTAAAGAAGAAAGACCACCCAAATATATACACACACATGCATACATACATACATACATACATACAGACACTATCTGAATATGGCATTTGGCATATGGCGTTTTGACTTTTTAGACTATATTTGGTTACACCCAAAGAAAAATCGTCCTCAATGAAACCGAAAAATCAGTCTGAGTCAAGTCGGACTGAATCATGCAGGGAATCCACTTATTTCATGTCGAAGTGACGGCATAAATCAAGTCGGATTCGGAAAAATGCAAACCGGCATATTAGTCTGATTGAAGTCGATTTTTCGACTTGATTCAAACTGATGTCGGCTTGACACATTTCTTCTTGAAATAAACCAGTTTTTGACACGTATCAGACCCGGAATCCGGATTGGCTTAAAAAATCAACTAGAATCAAGTCGAAAATCAACTAGAATCAAGCTAACGTTGATTTGAATCAGTACTTTTTTCTGGGTGTACACAAACACAAAAAAATAGAGACTTAAATTTGAGCGATTACAAAGCTTCCATTCGGAAGCAAAAATGATGTGCACAATGCTCATTTACAAGCATATTGCTTGTTTATTGGTAAAAATAGCAAAGCTATATGAAAGCAGGAGCAATTTCCTACTTTTGTTTCGGATTTAAAATATTTTTTTTCGAAAAAAGTAAACGATGGCACTAGTCTGGCATTTCCGTACGGCATTTCTAATGTAATTTATATTGCGTATGAATGTTTCCGATACCGTTTTAGATTTCTTTTTCAGGTTATTAACAATCGCACAAATTTCTTATACGTAGGTTTTCATGGTGATTTTTCAGCGCAATATTAGATGAGGGGCCCACGTAGAAGGAAAAATTTCGATTGTAATCAACTTGAAAAAAAATTAGGGAAATTCTGGAAAAATGCTGCCTAATCTAATAATGATATTCAATCCAGCATTTGCAAGGATTACTGACTGATGCTTATTACAAAAAAGCCAGCGCCATGCAATTACGCAACTGAATTACTAAGGAAACATGCGTTTCAAAAAACAAGAAAAAGTTGCATAAGAAAGGACGTCATTCGCAACAAAGAAAGCAATTACACGGCCACTCATGGTCAATGTCGATTGATATGAGGCTTTCTCGACGTGTACATATAACAGAAAGACGTCAACGCACCAAATGCATATTTTCCCACGGTTATGAACCGATTTTCTGCTGCATTTT